GGATTGAGTCCGGCATCAGGCTCCTTGCTCAGTGGGGAGCCTGTTTCTCCCTCTGCCTGCCCCTCCCCCTGCTTGTGCTGTCTCTCTCTCTCTCTCTCTCTCTCTCTCTCTCTCTCCGACAAATAAAGAAATAAAATCTTAAAAAAAAAAGATTGAAAGGGGTGCCTGAGTGGTTCAGTCGGTTGAACACCCAGCTCTTGATTTCAGCTCAGGTCATGATCTCAGGGTTGTGAGAATAAGCCCTGCATCGGGCTCCATGCTCAGCACTGGGTCTGCTTGAGATTCTCTCTCCTCCTCCCTCTGCCCCTCCCCCATTGCTCACATTTGCTCTCTTTCTTTCCCTCTCTAAAAAAAAAAAAAAGACTGAAGGAAGAAATAAACAGAGACTGCGTGATCTTTGGGAAATGCAAAGCAATCTGACACATGCATAACTGAAGCCCCAGAAAGTGAGGAGAAAGGAGACCAGAAAAAATATCTTTAAAGAAATAATGACCAAAAGTTTTCTAAGTTTGATGAAACCCTCAAATGCAAGAAGCTCAGCAAACCCTAAGGAAAATAACCAACCAAACAAAAAACACAGTAAGGTATATTATAATCAAATTTTGAGAACACATGATAAAGAGAAAAATCTTAAAAGCAGCAAGAGAAGAAAAAATATTATACAGAGAAGAACAAAAATAAAGAACAAAAATAAAGAAGACAGCAGACTTCTCATCAGAATTTTGCAAGCCCAGAAGACAATGGAACGGTACTAGTTAATGATCAGATTGATGAATTCAATTTAAAAAGCAGCACAAAGCAAAAACATAATTTTTTAAAGATTTTATTTATTTATTTGTCAGAGAGAGCAGCAGACAGAAAGAGAGGGAAAAGCAGGCTCCCCGCTGAGCAAGGAGCCCGATGCAGGAGCCTGGGATCATGACCAGATGCTTAACCAACTGAGCCACCCAGGCGTCCCACAAAAAGCATAATTAAACAAGTGGAACTACAACAAAAAGCTTCTGCACAGCAAAGGAAACCATCAGCAAAATGAAAAGGCAACCTATTGAAATGGGAGAAAATAATTGCAATTCTTGTATCTCATAAGGGGCTAATATCCAAAATATATAAAGAACTCCTATAACTCAAAAGAAACAAACAAACACACAATCCAATTAAAAAATGGGCAGAAGATCTAAATAGACATTTTTCCAAAGAAAATATAGAGATGGCCAACAGACACATAAAAAAATTCTCTACATCATTAATCATCAGGGAAATGCACATCACAACCACAGTGAGATACCACCTCACACCTGTGAGGATGGCTAGTATCAAAAAGACAAGAGACAACAAGTGCTGATGAGGATGTGGAGAAAAGAGAACCCTTGTGCCCTGTTGGTGGGAATGTAAATTGGTGCAGCCGCTGGGGAAAACAGTATAGAAGTTCCTCAAAAAATTAAAAATAGAACTATCATATGATGCAGGAATTCCACTTCTGGGAATTTATCTGAAAAGAATTAAAACACTAACTCAAAAAGATATGTGCACCCTTATGTTCGTTGCAGCATTATTTATAACAGCCAAGATACGGAAACAACCTAAGTGTCTTATCTATGGATGGATATGAAAATTATGGCATATATACACTGGAATGCTATTTATCCATAGAGGAGAATGAAATCCTGCCATTTGCAAATATATGGATGGACCTCAAGGGCATTATCCTAAGTGAAGTAAGTCAGAGAAGAAGAAATACTGCATGATCTCTTATATGTGGAGTCTAAAACAAAACAAAACAAGCTCATAAATAACAGAGAACAAATTGGTGATTGCCAGAGGCAAGGCATGGGGGGGGTGGAAGACATAGGTGAACTGTTCTTTGTTTTTTTGTTTAAATAAATGGACATTTAAAAAAACCAGAAAATGTAAATTAAAGGTTTCTTTTTAACATGACATTGTAAAACAATAAGAAGAAAATATCTTGGAGTGGATAAAATCAAAATCTTGGAAATCATTGAAGAAAAAATTTAATAAATTTAACTACACATAAATATTTTCAAATTCAACATGAAAAAACATAAACAAAATAATAAGACAAATAGCAAACTGAAAACAAATATTTGTAACATATATAACAAGGTCCTAATTTCTATGAAATAAAAAATAAATAAGATTTCTTCCAAAGTCTACTTATAAAAAGACCAAAACTCCAATAGAAAAATGGGCAAGTACATAAACAAAGAGAGATATTTCACAGAAAAAAAAAGGATAATAGACATTTTATAAAGATATTTGCAGCTATAATTAGGTAAATGATCCTTAAAAATAAAAATTTTTAATAAATGATTTTGGCAAAGATCAAAAGGCCTGATGGGAAATAATTTTCTGCAAGTTCAAGGGAAACAGATGCTCTCACATACCTCTTGTAGGACAGAAAATTGGTGCAACCCCTTTGGAGGCAACTTGACGATACGTATCTTAACGTAAACTTCCCATACACTTTCAACGCAGCATTTCTCGATGTTCATTGTATTGCTGTCTTAGTAGATATAAGCAAAGGCGTGCAGTATTCATTGCAGCATTGTTGTTCATATAAAAATGCGTAAATAATCCAAAACTTAACAAATAAAAAGCCCTGTAGTGGACATAAAACTTAGAATTTAGTTAAAAAGACAAGATTTATATACTGGAATCAATTAGGAAATAATCCCAGGGCAATGTATCAACTTGAGCATTGTCTGTAGGCAAATTATGCTGCTGATCCCCTAAAGTAACTTTTCAAAAAAGACAGAGTCCACCGTTGTAATGGGTTAAATAGTGGACCCCAAAAAGACATGTTCATGTCCTGACACCCCGAGCCTGTGAATATGATCTTATTGGAGACTGGGCCTTTGTGGACATGGTTAAGTTAAGGAAATTGAAATAAGATCATTCAGGATTATTCTGGTGGGCCTAAATCCAAAGACAAGTGTTCTTATGAGAGACAGAAGAGGAGAAGACATACACAGAAAATGTCGGGAAGACAAAGGCAGAGAGAGATTGCACAGGGAATGCTTGGAGCACCAGAAACAGAAGGAGGCAAGGAAGGATTCTCCTCCAGAACATTTGGAGGCCAAGAACTATGGCCGTTTTTATGCTTCTGCTGTATATACAATGTTACTCACTATTGATCAACCACCCCTACCTTTCAAAGTACACAAAATCAAATAGATGTAAGATCTTTAACCCTACAACTGTACATTATTTCGTTTAACACCCAGATTCTTGGGGCACCTGGGTGGCTCAGTCGTTAAGCGTCTGCCTTCGGCTCAGGTCATGATCCCAGGGTCCTGGGATCGAGTCCCGCATCGGGCTCCCTGCTCAGCGAGAAGCCTGCTTCTCCCTCTCCCACTCCCCCTGCTTGTGTTCCCTCTCTCGCTGTGTCTCTCTCTGTCAAATAAATAAATAAAAATCTAAAACAAAAACAAAAACAAAACAAAACAAAAAACACCCAGATTCTGGGTTGGTTAGAATTTCATCGTACCTCCTCTCAACTTCATGGGCCTATGCGCTCCCATATGGGGTTCTGGGTGATTTATCCCCTTTCCAAGTTGATCACTTGTCACTATCAGACAAATTGCAGATCTTATATCTTTATTCCTATTCAATGCCAGGAAAGATCAAGGGGTTGGGAGAAAATGGAATGGCGCGTAAATGGAATGGCACATAAAGACTAGTATTTGCTTTGTTTTTTTTCTCTCTATACCTACGAATAAGTTTTAAAAATCTTTTTGATATATTAAGACTTTTAATGAGGACAACTAAATAGATTAAATGTGTTTTTAGAGCAATAATAAGGCCAGTGATCTTGATAAACCCTAATCGGTAGACACATTTTAGCTATTTCATGTGGCTCAACACAAATATGAATGCACACACCTCGAGCTCCCCCCAACACACGTATCCTATCACAGACTCATTAACAAAACTTAGACACTCACTTTAATGATATTATCTGACCTATTTTTCACAGAATGACCCATTTTTCTAAGGGACTTAGACCAAACCAATATTCCCAGGTTTTGGACCACCAAAGAAGGAAGGAAGTGTACAGAACTAACATTTACTGAGTAGATATTATGTGCCAGGCACTCTGCCAGATGCTTAACCTTCCGATCACTCTGATAGGTCATTCCCTTTGAGGTTGAGGCTCCAATTCCATTTCAGTTTTTTATCATCTCTGCCTGGTCTGCTGGAGTAGGCTCCTTACTAGTATCTCTGCTTCTGCTTCGGTTTCCTGACAGCCCATTCTGGACTCAGATGCACCGGAGTGTGATTAAAATAGATCCTGTTGCTTTCCAGCCCCTTCAGGCATTTCCCATAGCAATTAGAATGAAATCCACACTCTCTTCAATGGCCTACAAACCTCTACGTGTTGTCTGGCCTGCACCTACTTAGCTCTCTCTCACTTCATCTGGGATGACTCTCTTTCCCACTCACGCACGATGCCGCAGCTCAGGGGTCAGCACATTGCAGCCCATAGGCAAACAGCTGACCACCTGTTTCTGAGCCGCCCCTGAGCTAAGAATGGTTTTTACATTTGTCAAATGTTGGAAAGAACCAGAAGAAGAACAGGATTTGGTGACACATGGAAATGATTGGCAGTTCAAATATCAGGGTCCATAAATAAAGTTTTATTGGAACCCAGCCATGCTCATTCGTGTATGCATTATCCGGGACGGCTAGGTGGTCTCTACTAGGTGGTCCTTGGCAAGAAACGTTTGCCGGACGCTGCTTTAGTCACACTGGTCTCTCTTCTGTGCATTCTTTCCTCGGGGCTTTCTATTTCCTGTTCCCTCCTCCTGGAATGTTCTCCAGCTCTCCACACGGTTAGTGTGTTCTCATAGGGTCTCATTATCATGGCAAAACCAGCAGAAAGTCACGTACTGTTAGATTGTATCTGCCACCTATGAAAGGGTCAGTCTCCGATCCCCGGATAAAGAGATTGGATTTCTGATTCTTCCTTTGCTATCCGGCAGCAACAAGGAAACAAGAGGCTCTTTGGAGGCCAGGGTTGGCTCTGAACTCCACTGACCTGGTGATTCCCTCTGCAGCTGGGGTGAAATGGATGTCCCTCACCTGTCGCACCCCGGATTCGAGGAGGCTGGAGGACAGACTGCGTGTCCCATCTTCCAGACTTGAGGGAATAAAGGAAGCTTCAGAGACTCCTCTCATGCCATTTCAGCCACATCTCTATCCCATTATAGCCAGCAGAGCAGGTGCACAGCCCGGAATTCTTGGTGTAATCTGTGGACATGGAAATGCAAAGGAGGATGAGGTTTCTATCATTACAGCACACTGGTGCGCGGAACACAGTAGCCCTTGGATCATAGGTAAAAACATGCACTTTGCGGTGTCATCAAAGTGCACAGATCTTGGATCAGGAGGCCTCCTCTCTCCATATCAGCTGCAGGACCATGCCAGTCGTTGGGCCACTCTGAGCCAGCTTCCTCTGTAAAATACCAACTTGCCTAATCCTCTTTCAGAGTCCTAAGGATCAAATGAGAAAACATTTGTAAAACTGCTTTGCAAACTAAGTCTTAAAGAATAGAAAGTATTCATGGGCCTTCTCTTAATACCATAAGACAAGAACACCATATTCTTTTTTTTTTTTAATTTTTTAAGATTTTATTTATTTATTTGAGAAAGAGACAGCAGGGTGGGCAAGAGAGAGCACAAGTTTGGGGGGGAGGGAAAGGAAGAAGGACACTTCCTGCTGAGCAAGGAGCCCGATGAGCGGGCTCGATCCCAGGACCCCAGGATCATGACCTGAGCCGAAGGCAGACGCTTAACCAACTGAGCCACGCAGGTGCCCCAAGAACACCATATTCTGTTTAATAAATCCTACTGTGACAACTCTCACAATTTTGTGTGTATTTTGAGACTTTTTAATTAAATTGTTATGTCCTTAAATGTATTATTTTGTTCTGAAAATAGATGAAGAAGGGGCACCTGGGTGGTGCAGTCAGCTGCATGTCTGACTCTCGGTTTTGGCTCTGGTCATGATCTCAGGGTTGAGAGATCGAGCCCCGCGTCGGGCTCCATGCTCAGCTCGGGGTCTGCTTGAGATTCTGCCTCTCCCTCTGCGTCCCCACCCCGTTCATGCTCTCTCTCTCTAAAATAAATAAATAAATATTTTGAAAAATAGATAAAGAAAAGATACATGTAAGATCTTAGGGGTTGTCAGCTTAAAATGCAAGTACATTCACTGAGATGCAGGGGGCAGCCTGTCTGAGGTGAGATGAGGATGGGAGATTCTGAAAAAGAAAGCCGCAGAGATAACAGATCAAGGTCAAGTGGGGGGGAGAAATGCTTGGTACCTCCTCTCACATTTATGTGGCAGTTTTAATTTAAAAACAATCTATTTCTCGAAGCAGTTCGGCGAATGGGGTATGCCTTAGGAAGTGTTGCAGTGTAACTGGGTGTACCAAGGGAAAGTGTGAATTGGAAAATAGAGGAATGTGCAATAAATCCATGGTCCCCGGGGACAGCGCTGGGCCAAGAGCGGGTTTTAACATCAACCGTAAGTCTGTTACAGCCTGCGTGAGGGCCCCGTCCCTGGGGTCGGGAGACGCGGGGCCAAGTGAATGCTCTGGCGCCTGCTAGCCGTATGAAGTTGCTCTCTGGAAGCCAGCTTTCTCATCTGTGAAATTGGGACAATATGCTCTATCTTTCAGGGTGGTTGTGTGTAGAGATAAGCACTCTGTGCGCTGCTCAAAGGGAAGCTACTGCTGCTGCTTGAAAAGGCCAGGTCAGTAACGACAGAGATGTCCCCTTTGGTAAGACAGTCCGGTCTTCAGGGGTGCCTGGGTGGCTCAGTCGGTTAAGCATCTGCCTTCGGCTCAGGTCATGATCTCAGGGTCCTGGGATCGAGCCCTGCTTCGGGCTCCCTGCTCACTGGGGGGTCTGCTTCTCCCTCTCCCTCTCCCCCTGCTTGTGCTCTCTCTCTCTCTAAAAAAAAAAAAAAAAAAAAAATAGCCCTGTCTTCACTAGGTTGTAAAAGATACCAGTGTTGTAGGATAGCCAACACTAGAAGCTGACAAGTCTTACTGGGGTCCTGGAGATCATTCAAGATATGCAAGAACAGATGGAACCCGGGGGCCAACGTCACAGTGAGGATCTTCATGTGACTGAAGAGTGAAGCGTCTGGGATCTGACTTAGATAATTCGTACGAGGCCGGTGCCACAGGAATTTTTCAGCATGGGGCCCCAGGCCTGGAGAAGCAACCCTCGTTGTAGTCAAGAAGGAAAGCCAAAGCCTGAGCCAGAAAAGCTGAGCTGAGCACCAGGTTGGGAAGGTAAGAGTAAGAGACAGAAAGTAGGCCACGACCCAGGAGAGGCCTGAGCAGGTGGTACGTGGGATGTCCATGCTAGGGTATGGCAGGGGGCTCTTTTTTCCATGCCTCTGCGGAGCTAGCCCAACTGCCCACACCTCCCTGGATGGACCCTTGCCCAGCTGTCTGTCACACCCCAGCGGCATCCACAGCTCTGCTCTTGTTCTCACCTGTAGGGAACAAGAGAATAGAGTGGGGAGCTGGGGTTGGGCCAGGTGAGAGGTTGCTGGCCAGCAACTGTAGGTGAGCAGGGAAACTCCAGGCCCTTAGCAATCTGGAAGATCTCCTTGGTACAGATGGAGGGGACAGTTCCATGCATCAAAGGCCAATCTCCTTGCCCACCTACAAACCCAATTCCCTCAGCACAGATCTCTGTAGAAACTCACCAAGTGCCTTTAGAGACTTGGAGGTGGTGAGAGACCAACTTCACAGACCTGGGGTCCAGTGTGTGCGGGCTCTCCTCTACTTCATGCCCACCTTCCCTTCCTGGCCACCAGCACCGGCCTGCAGATAAGATCACTATGCAGTAGGTCGATATTCCCAGTCAATGTATAGAGGATGAAAGACAATTTAGGATTACCAAAAATGTATAAAACAATGGGGTGTGCAAAAGATGAATACTGGACTTTGTGTAATCTTTCATTACAAATGTACTTCGTGAATTTTCAAGAAAGTCTAGCATGTAGCATTTATCAAACTTTATTGTACTAATAGAAAATGTTATGGGCTTCCTAATTCATATGTTGAAGCCTGAACCGCCAGTACCTCAGAATGTAACTGTATTTGGAGATAGGGTCTTTAAGGAGGCAATTAAGTCCAAGTGGAGTTATCAGAGTGGGCCCTAATACAATGACTGGTGTCTTTATAAAAAGAGGACATTAGGACACAGACACAGAGAGATACCAAACAGGTCCAGGCACAGAGAGATGACCATTCGAACACACAGCAGGAAGGTATTTACCAGCCAAGGAGAGAGGCCTCAGAAGAGACCAACCTTGCCAACACCTTGGTCTCAGACTTCCAGCCTCCAGAGCTGTGAGAAAATACATTTCTGTCATTGAAGCCACCCCGTCTGTGGTACTTGGTTGTGGTAGCCCTTGCAAACAAATGCAGAAAACTTATTAATATCTTAATGATCACTTTGGGATATGCTGGAATAACATGAATAATTATTTCAATACTATTTTATTAAAATTTATTGTGGACATTTGTTCATTTTTATGCGTTGGTTTCCTGGTAGCCCTGGTTTATAAGCACTGACTTACCCTCACACCTTCTCGTGAGTTCTTTGCCCTGGACTCACACAAATGCTCCAAGGGGCAGGCTCTGCCATTATGGACAAACACGGTGCATTCCCAGGCTGTACCCCTACTCCCTAGCCGGGGCCTTTGGGACCGTAGTGGCTTTGTACCACGTCAATATAGCTAAGCCGGAACCATGTTTCCCGGAAGAAGGGAGCAACCTGCGGAAGGCTGAAGTGACGCGGCGGCCATGACTGTAGCAGAAGGCCGGCGTCGGTGGCAGCTCGCACGCCGTGCCGTGCGTCTGCTGGCTCACCGCTGCTCCAGCTTTCTCTGAATCCTGGCTAGGTCTGTACATAACTCCATGACAAAGGGCACCAGCTCTTCTGCAGGTCTGCTTCATCGTCGAAGTCTGGACGGGAGGCAGAAAAGCCCAGCGTGGGACCTATAGGTCCCATCTCCTCGGGGCAGGTTCCAGTCCATGCCTGCGCTCCTCACAGCTCCACTTCGCATCCGTCTTCCCCTCGTGAAGCCTCCCCAGCCTGCTGACTTCAGACCCACATCTTGACGCAGGGACAACAGATTGCACAGACTGCTTAACCAGCTCCCATAATCATGTACATTCTAATCCCTACAATAAACTCCTTGTTTCACTCAAAGTGGTTTTGCTTCTCCAATCAAACTTTAATTGATACAGATTTTGGAACCGGAGTGGGGGCTGCAGCAATAAAAACCTAAAACATGTGCACTGGCTTTGGGACTGGCCTTGAAAAGTCTGTCAGCAAAGACTTAAATAAACATGAGGAAAATATTATTGGAATCTGAAAGAAAGGAGACATTTTTATGGAGTGGCTGAGGGAAGTTTAGCAACACTGACACCCACGGTAACTTGGAAAATAGAAAACGTACCAATGAACTGTGTGATCTCGCCGAGGAAATTTCCAGGCACAGTGTTGAAAGTGCCACCTGGCCTCTTCCAGCTGCCTACAATAAAATGAGAGAGTTATAAAGATAAGCTAAAGAACAAACAATTAATTATAAAGGTGACAGGACTTGCAGAGTCTGAAAACAAAATGGCTTCTCATTCCCAGATGGCAAACAAATCTAAAATTAAGAAAAGGCTTCCGGATCTGGTTCCAGTAAAGATGGAGCGAGCAGATTCCATAGTCTCTTTCCCACTGGTTACATCTAAAAACACTAGACAGAACACATAAAGCAACTAAGGAGAACTCTGGAAGGTAATAATAGCAGGAGGATTAGGGAGGGAAATCAAAACTCCAAGAAAGGCCAATAAGGTGGTGAGAAGTCTGGGGTGATTTTCCTTCCCCATCTCTTGGCATAAACTCACAACAACTTGAAACTCGGAACAGCTTAAGTTGCACAGACAGAAAAAGATCCGAGAGAAACCCTCTCTTTCTGATAAAAAGAATAGGGAGAGTGGGGTGCCTGGGTGGCTCAGTCTGTTGAGGATCTGACTCCTGATTTTGGCTCAGGTCATGATCTCAGGGTTTTGAAGTGGAGCCCTGGGTAAGGCTCCATGCTCACCAGGGACTCTGCTTAGGATTGTTTCCCTCTCCCTCTGCTCCTCACCCCCCGCTTGGGCAGGCTCTCTGTCTCTCTCAAAAAAAAAAAAAAGAGAGAGAGGGAGAGAGAATAGGAAGGGGAGTCCCTTCATAAAAGAGAGTCATTAGGGAAATCCTCATTTTTGTTTCCTTCTGACGTGTCCTGATTCCATAAAGCATTGAAACTTAGGGGTCTTGGGGAGGGGATGAGTGTATTTTGCTTGTGGGAGGGGTGTGAGTCATTGTGGCCGGAGAGCAGACTGTAGCCCCCTGTATCACCCAAAGACCCCCATAACAGTATCTCCCTCCCCACGTACTCTTTTGGCGATGCGATCTTATCATCTCCGTTAAGAGGTGAAGTCTGTATCTCTTCCCCTTGAATCTTGGTGGACCTTTGTGACTACCCCAGCCAACAGAGTATGGCAGAAGTGATACTATGGAATTTCTAAGACTCGATCCTAAAAGGTGATGCAGTTTGC